GAGTTATTTTGTTTCTTTGTTGTTGTTAATGCTCGCGCGAGGATATTTTTCCCATTGTTTTTCAGAGAGAGTGGAAAGAGAGAGAGAGAGAGAGAAACACTGATGTGAGAGAGACTCATCGATGGGTTGCCTCCCACATGCACCCCAAGCAGGGCCGAACCTGCAACCCAGGTGCATGACCTTGACCGGGAATTGAACCTGCTAACTGGTGCACAGGGTGATGCTCTAAGCACTGGGCCACCCTGGTCAGGGCGGGGTCCCCTTTTTAATGACTGTCCTTGGAAGGGAAACAGCAGTTTCCCTCCACTCTAAAACGAGCGGGTTGGACCCATCTCCGGGTCCTTTCCAGCTCCGCTGATTCGAGAGCCCTGATCCTGGTAATTAAGACTCTTGACTTGAACGCTGCTCGTTGGCAACCATAATCAGTGACGCCGCGGCGTCCCTGGGTTTTCTGAATAAACTCCGTCGTGACGTTGTTAAATGTCGGAGACAAGCAGGAAAGAAGGTTTGCAGCTCGAAATTGTGTGATTTAAACCAGACTCAGCCCTGGTTGGTGTGACTCAGTGGTTAGAGTGTCGGCCCAGGTGCACGGAAGGGTCCCGGGTTCGAGTCCCAGGCAAGGGCATGCACCTGGGTTGCGGGTTTGATCTCCGGCCCTGGTTGGGGTGCATTCGGGAGGCAGCCAACCGATGTGTGTCTCTCAATTGATGTTTCTCCCCCCTTCTCCTACCTCTAACCTTCCCCCCTTCCAGTCTCTGTCTGAAAAACAATCGCTGGTCTACACTAACACACACTCCAGCCCCTCTCCTGTCCCTGGACCAGGGGGGCGCACACTCAAGTGCTGACTTTCTAACCATTGCTTCCCGGTGACCAGCCCCCTTTCTGAAGCGATCCAGGTGCCCACCAAGAGTCGCCTCCTTAGAACAAAACATACTCCCCTCACCCGGGGAATTGCAAGGGCTTTAGGAGCTGTGTCGGGAACCAGGGCCCAAGACCAAACCTTAGAAAGATGCTCCCAGTGTTCGCACCGCTTAGGACCTTAGAAGGGAAGTTGGAGCTCTGTGCCAGGAGCAGCGGGGTGGGGCAGGGACCAATATATACATATTTTGTATTATTTGAGACATAGCCTTACTTTATCCATCACATGTTCTGCTCACTGCCTTCTCCCCCCCCATTTAAAAAATTTATTGTATTTTTATTTTTTAATCCCCACTTGAGCATATTTTTTCCATTGCTTTTCCAAGAGAGTAGAAGGGAGACAGAGACACACACACGTCCACGTGAGGGAGACACACGGATTGGTTGCCTCCTGCACGAGCCCCGACCGGGGCCAGGGTTCGAGCCTGCAGCCCAAGTACGTGCCCTTGGCCAAAATCGCACCGGGGATCCTTCAGTCGGAGGGCTGATGCTTTAACCACTGAGCAAACCGGCCAGGGCCTGCCTTCTCCGCCTTTGAGCAGCATATCCGGCATTCCTCTTTGCTAATGCATTTGCACCAGAGGAGCCCGACCACCTCACACTTCCTAGCTGTGCAAATTTTAGTAGTTGATGTTCATGTTTCAGTTTTATCATCTGTAAGAGAGTTATGATGAGGGTACCTGCCTACTAGGGATGTCTGCAAAATAAATAAGTTAATAAAGCACCTTAAAATATAGTCTCGCCGTGGGCATCGAAGGCGGGCTCTTTGTATTTGTCTTTGACCTAACGATCCTATTTCTTAGTCTAAATATATATATTTTTAAAATCTGTTTTTATTGATTTCAGAGAGAGGGAGAGAGAGATAGAAACATCAATGATGAGAGAGAATCATTGATCGTTTGCCTCCTGCACGCCCCCGACTGGGGATGGAGCCCACAACCCGGGCATGTGCCCTGACCTCCTGGCTCGTAGGTTGACAGGGAACCACTGAGCCACACCGGCGGGTCTTAGTCTAAATGTTTTACAAAGGATGGCTGCATATTATACTTAGACCAACCCACAATTCCTTTCACCTATTTTGCTTCCCACAGTGAGCCCCGCCCCCGCCCACCTGCACAGCTCCGCCCGCAACATTGTTTCATTTCAGCACAGCCCACATACCCGTTGTCTTTTGGTTTTGTGCCACTCAACCTGTTACAAAGTAGTCAATTTTCATGAGCCACTTTCCCTGCCTGGAACATCCCGCCCTCTTCCCGCTTTAAAAGGGTCCCGATTGTTTCCATACGGAGCCCAGTCTCACAGACGAGCTGCTGGAGAAAGGAGTTTATAGTTTATGACACTCTCTTGATAGGTATTGAACAAATGAGAAATCGAACGGTGCCTGTTAAGGACAAGTGTCAAGGATGCGGCCGTGGCAATTTTCCTGGACGTGTAGACGAGCCAGACAGGCCACGAAGCCAAACTGTCGGACGAGGGACTTTCTGTTTAACCTCAGGGGAGACGGGTTTCCCTGGGTGGTTCAGCTGGGTGTTTCTGAACTACTGCGGTTTACTGAGACCGTATGGATCACTCGGGATCCTTACCTGGTTTACTTCGCAGCCACCACTTAGCTTCCAAAATCGCTTTGCCAGTATTCATATCCCTTGAGTTTTTACCGGTTTTTGGTATTTTTTTAAAGAGGGTGTCATAGCAAAGTTTTGTCAACTTCCCCCCTTCCATTCTAGTCCATGCCTAGACTGTTGACAGTGATGGATTTTTAGGAACGTTAAGGATTTGGGAGCTTCACTGTTTACAGTCTTACTTGGAAGCTATGCATTTGCCCCGCTGTGCGTTTTGGCTCCACCTTTTGCTGGATGGACGACGCCGTGTGCTTTTGAGTTTTGTGGTAAATATTTGGGTCAAAATTAGCCGTGTGGGCAAGAAATGAATTCCCCCCTCCCCCCTCCCT